ATCTATCTATCTATCTATCTATCTATCTATCTATCTATCTATCTATCATCTATTTATTTTGGTTTTGGGAGACAGTGTTTCTCCGTAACTTTGGAGTCTGTCCTGGAACTACCCCTTGCAGACCAGGCTGGCCTTGAACTCATAGAGAGCCCCTACCTCTGCCTCCCAAGTGCTGGGATTAAAGGCGTGCGCCACCACCACCCGGCTCCAACAGCCTATTTTAATCTAGAGACACACCGGTAGCCTGATTCTCAGTGGAGGGGCTGGGAAGGTGGTAGATGAATTCTCTCTGCCTTTGATCGCTCTTCCAGACAGGATGAAGGGCGTGAATGAGAGAACAGCGCTATCAAGGTGCAAAGGGTATATTTGAAAACATACCCTGGGCCAGCCTAGAAAGGCCTTAAAGGCAAAACTAAGAACTAAACATTATACTCTTAGAGGAGACCGTGAAAGGATTCGAACAGAAAAGAGACAGGCTAGACTGGTGGTTTATGAATGCTGCCAGAGAAGTGTAGACAGGGGAGTGCTTCCCACAGGAATCCCTCAGTGGATGTCTGCAGAGACCGAACCTTTAACTGGATATGAGAGATCGGCCCAGGAAGTGGCCTGCGAAGTATCTGTCCTAATGGGGAGATTTCTGTCTCTATAACAGGGGATCTCATATTCTCCTGGGGCCCAGGCATGGTCAGTGTGGACCACAGATGGCAGATTAAAGCTGAGCCAGGGCAGATCTCCTGGCCCAATACTCTCTCCTTACAGATAAGCAGACTGAGGTGCGGGGCGGAGACTGGCAGTCCAGCTATCTCTCCCTGTGTCTGGGCTCCTTCCTCTGACCCACATGGATCAGGTGCTTGGCCTTCCCTGGCCCTGAGCCTGGGGTGCAGTAAAGAAACACCTCGGCCCAGAGCCAGGAGGCTGAAGGGGAGAAGCTGCCATAACAGATCCCGTCTTCAGTTCCTCCTGGTGTAGTCCTTTCAGGAACCGGTTCCTGCACCCTTTGCCCCTACCACAACAGCTGCCTGTCCTAGACACTCAGGCCCCAGGAGGCCGAGCCAAGCAACATCTGGGGTCACTTCCCCAGCCTTAGGGCCTCTCCTCTTGTTTTCTCTCTAGAGTTAAAGTGGGTCTGTCCTGGGCCCCCAGGAAGGAGGAGAGGGCTTTATAAGGGGTCTGTCCTCTAAGTTTGCAAAGGGGCAATAAATTCAGCTTCAGATCTGCTGCCGTCCCAAGTCCATGTGTTCCCTACTGAGTTTCCAGTGCCTGCAGTCACACCTTCTTAAGACCACTGCAGAAGGCCCATGAGGAGGAGGTGTGGGAGATCACATTCTTGAGCTTCCTAGGATAACAGGCGTTTAGCAGACAGTTTCCCCCTTTTGTTCCTAGATACACCTAGGAAGCCACAGGAGGAAAAACATACCCCTAGGACTTTCCCAGCTGGTACTGGTCTGGCCATCTGTCCCTGTCTCTCCCCAGTTCCTGCTCATGTCTTGTTCACCACCCCCACTCCAAGCCTGTCTTCCTTTCCCCTGCCTACTACAGGACCAGAATGTTCCTTCTCCCTAGACACTAGTGAGTCAGTAGGACATAACAGTTGAGGAGTAGTCCCCAGGGCAACAGATGCTTCTGGGGTGGGGGTGGGGTGATACAGTCAGTTTGTAGGGCCTAGCACTTAGTGACAATATGGATGAGTTCGTGACACCCCAAGACAGGGTTTCTCTGTAGCTTTGGAGTCTGTCCTGGAATTAGCTCTTGTAGACCAGGCTGGCCTTGAACTCACAGAGATCCGCCTGCCTCTGCTGAGATTAAAGGCGTGTGCCACCACTGCCTGGCTTTCAGAGACTCTTTCTAGTCTCTTCCAGTAGTGGAGCTAGGGGTCGTAAGAGTCAATACCATGCAGTACTGGGGGTGGGAACAAGTTGGAAGGTCACAGATAGGCTGTTGGAGGAGTTTTAATACGCAGAGGTCACCCGGCAGTCATCAAGACTGTGGCTGCCCCACCCCCACAGTAAAAGTGGCTATTCCTGGAGAGCTTTGTTTTTATTTTTGCTTTGATACTGACTTTCTTGTATCCCAGGTTGGCCTTGAACCTGCTTTGTAAGCGGAACATGACCCCAAATGTCTGATCCTCTTATGTCTCTGCCTTCCAAGATTATAGATACACATTACCGCACCTGGTTATTACCACAGCCCTGCAGCGCTGGGGATGAACCTGGGGCTTCCTGCCTGCCAGGCAAGCACTCTACAGCTGTGCTCCACCCCAGGACTCTAAAGTTGTCTATTTGCTGCCCTAACACTCTGGGTTTTTACCTCGCAATCCTGGTTTTTCTACCTTTGGGGTCTGGTTGAGACTCAACCCGTCTGTCCTTGTGGTTTGCTGGATGCTGTCTAAAGGGCAGGGGCTCTTGTCCTGGGCCACTGTGCACATGCACTCCAGTCAGATTTCCACCCTCCCCCGCCCCTCTGTTTTCTTGAAGGAGAAACTTTTCCTAAACCCTCAGTCCCTCCAAATACACTCTCCTCCTGGCATTAGGCAGACTGGCTGCCATCTGAGCGTCGTCTCTACGGGAGACTGGGTTTCTGTCACCACAGGTTCTGCTGGCAGAACTGTTTTTGTCACTGTAGGTGGAACTGCCCGTTGTTCTCTGGGGTTCACTTTGGCTTGTTGTCTCACAGGGCTGGCCTCGCGTCCTCTCCTTGTTCTGGAATGAAGATCTAGCCCCCATGAGGCTCACAGTCTTTTCACCATCAAACTCCTGGAAGAGCCCAAGGAAACCCACAGACATTCCCCAAAGACACTGAATGCATTCTGCTCCTGGCTTCCCAGTTCCCCTGACCCCACACTATCAAGAGATCATCTCTTGCACTCAGCTTCCAGCACCCACCTCAGGGGGATACCCCGAATGCTGAGAGTGACCTCTCAGACCCCACACTGGATTTCCAGAGTCTGAAACCCAAGGATCCCCAATAAATATACCTCAAGTCAATGAATGAATGAATGAATGGGGCCAGTGCCACAAGGAGGGCATCGGGCCTAATGAAGAGTCCTGACTAGGATTGGAGAATGAAGCCCGAGTACCAACCCTGACAACGACCAGTTGTATGACACTGACCATTTCCCCCACATTTTAAGACCTCCCTTTCACCCGAGAAAGGAAAAATAGTTGTGTAATTTCTAGAAGTATTTTATGAAAGTCCATACTAACGAGAACTTCGGTTTATTGAGCACCCATAATACTGAAGTCCTGTGCTAGGTGCTCTCTGTATACCAGCTCGGATCTAACTAGTAACCCAGTACCCCCGTTTTAAAGGTGACAGATAGACTGAAAGGGAGACTGAGGATACTCCTTGTCACAGAAACAGTGGGCCCTGGCTGAGGGTTGGCACTCGGGTTGGCTTCTTGTCTATGCATGTGAACTCATGGATGGCTTCAGTAGACAGGCTGGGCCGCTTGGGACCACACTGTAAAGAGTCATGGCCTCTGTGGACACACATTTTTGCCCACATCTCAGCAAGGTTCCGGGCTGGGACAGTAACAGAGTCTGCACCTGCCATTCCTTTTTTTCACTCAGGGCTTGAAAACCCTCTGGGCAGCAGCTCAGACTGACACTTCCCAGCCTTTTGGTCACTTTGAAGACGAACCTGTAACCTTCACCTGGCCGTTTCCTGTGGCTGAGTTTCATCCCTTTTGTACAGGTGCCCTGTTCTGGGAAAGTCTGAGTCCTGGCAGGAGCAGGCATCTTCTTCCACACACCCCGGACACTGGCTTTCCTTTTTTGAAGATGCCAGGCTTAAGCATTCTTGTATAGGCGGGTCCTTCTCGGCCTGTCTTCAGAACAAATGAGGGAACGGGTTACTTCCTAGCTTCCAGGCTCTCCTCTAGACCCCAACAGCTTGCCAAAACCGCTTCTCCGGGGTTTAAATGTGCTATAGCCCCCGAGAGAGAAGGCCCTTTCTTTGTTTGCACTTCCCCTCGCCTTCCTTTAGTCCTTCCATGTTCTTCTCGCTCTCACCCCTCACTCTCCATGAACTATCTGTCTGTCCCCACTCTCAGTTCGCTTTTGGGTCGGGGGAGAGGTTGAAAGGTTGAAGTTTCAAGTACAGCTCCCCTCCTCAGTTCTGTATCCTCGTGAGCAGACTTTGGTGACAAGGATATTTTCTTCTGTTCCTAATTTCTGTTTCTGAATGTCAAGAATAACTCCCAGCCTGGTGACCTTGGGCACAGCTTTGTGAGAAGAGAAGCCGGAGGGAAGTCTTAGAGGAGCGCCCTGGCAGAGAGGTGTGGAAGGATTCAGCAGTGTTTCTGGTCTGCTTAGGGAGGGGTGAAGAGAGGCTGGCCCAGCCTGAGGATGGGTCTTATCAGCTCTGGGCAGCACAGTAAGGTGCTAGCGATGTCAGTGTCAGGAAAAGAGCAAAGATCACATGAGCATCTGCAGCAGCTACACACAGACAAACAGCATCCCGACCCCAAGGCCTGTCCCTCTCAGAAAGCAGGCTTCACAGGACACCAGGACACAGTAACTCCGTACTCCCTCACGCACACACTTCAGTACGTACACTCACTCAAAAATATACACCACCCTCCTACCCACACTGATACACATAGAGACTAACAGAATCACACTCAGTACCGTGTGGGAGGGAGCTGAAGTCATTCTCCCAGAATAGTTCAGGCCGGCCTCTGCCAGCAGAGCCACCAAGCTTGCCTCAGGTTTCCACATGTGGTCAGAACTGAGAGGTAACCTTGGCAACCAAGCCAAGTCCCCAAGGTCCCCACAGAAGTACATACCACTATCTAGTGACTCCTAACTGGAGAGAGAGAGAACAAGGCCTGTGTGATATCCCCGTAGACAAGGTCAGGACAGAAGGACCCAGTCCTTGGGTTGTTCTAAGCAGGGCAGTTTGGAAAGCCACGTCATTCCCCAAGGGGCCACAGAGGTAGGCCAGACTAATGGATGGAATGGCCAACCAAGACCAGAGGAAAAGCAGGTCTGGGGTCACAGGGCACTGCAGTTTCTGGGGCAGATAAAGCATAGACTAAAGCCATCCCCACCTCTGCTATCACCACGGCACCGGTGAGTGTGTCTGTGGAGTCACGGTTCACACGGTGTGTCAGCACTTACGTTCACTATCCAACCCAGGGATGGAGGTAGAAGAAGAAATGAAAGAATGAGGAAGAAGAGGAGCAAGAATGGCCGAAGGGAGAGGGGGGGTCATTCTCCTTTTCCTGATGTCCCAAACATTCCACGGAGAGGAGGCAGTGGGTGGTGGGAAAAGGAAGCTTCTAAAAGCTCCCATCAGCTTAGGTGACTTTTCTCCTTTGTTTTGTTTTCATTGATGTTATTTGAGATCAGATCTCACTATGTAGCCCTAGGTGGTCTAGAACTTTCTATGTATAACAGGCTGACTTTGAACTCACAGAGATCTACCTCTGCTTCCCCAGTGCTCCAACTGAAGGTGCACATCATCACGCCGGGTGCTATCAACAACTTAAGGGCAGTTTAAATGATTTTTTTTTCTTTTTGTTTTTTCAAGACAGGGTTTCTCTGTAGCTTTGAAACCTGTCTTGGAACTAGCTCTTGTAGACCAGGCTGGCCTCAAACTCACAAAAATCCTCCTGTCTCTGTCTCATGAGTGCTGGGATTAAAGGCGTGCGCCACCACCGCTCAGCTTTTAAATGAATTTAAAACAAAATCAGGACTGATGTAACATGTTCAGTGTTATCAGAAATCAATCCTAAGGCTGGCTATGATAGCAAACACCTTTAATTCCAGTACTCAGAGAGGCAGAGGCCAGCCAGAGCTACACTGTTTCAAAACAAGCAACAAATAATTCTAGAACCTAAATCCTTATTTGGGGACTATGCTTCTGTAAAGTGACCTAGGAACATTGACTGTGAGATAAATTAGCTCCTTTATAGACCTAGGAGTACAAAGAGAAGACAGGAAAGGAGGGGTCTGCCTGTTAGTTCTTTTTTTTTTTTTCAAAACAGGGTTTCTCTGTAGCTTTGGAGCCTGTAGACCAGACTGGCCTTGAACTCACAGAGATCCCCCTGCCTCTGCTTCCTGAGTGCTGGGATTAAAGGCGTGCGCCACCACAGCCTGGCTCTGCCTGTTGGTTCTTGCAGAGCACTATCCACTACAGCCAGGATAGACTCCAAAATGCTGTGGCATCTCCACAGAAACACCTAGAGAGCAGTATGCAGCACCATTGTCCCCAAGTCGGGATTTAGTTTCTAGAATTGTTTGTTTACTTTGCAACAGGGTTTCACTGTGTATCTCTGACTGACTTGGAACTCCATAGGTAGACCAGGCTGGCTTCTGCCTCTCTGAGTACTGTGATTAAAGGTGTTTGCTACCATACCTAGCCTTAGAACTGATTTTAGGATTGGGGCTGCCTTTCCTTCCCACCTCCTATCCTCATATCTGGGCTCTTAATCTACAATCATAGCATCACTGTCAAGACTGATTGATTGCTCTGTGGGCCTGTGGCCAGAGCAGCAGCCCAGGAACTGGGGGATCTAATGAAGAGAGCGCCCCGTTTGTAGCCTGCAAGTTATGCCCTGTCCTGGCTCTACTGCATAGCCTGCAGGGAGATGTGAACATTTACAGAAGGGCCAGTTTGGTTTCCTAAAAAACAAAAACAAAACAAAAAAAAAAAAACACAAAGTTGGTGCTTCGGTTTGCAGAGAGCTTTGTTCACCAATTTGCTCATAGGATGTCAGAACACCAGACCCAAGCCAAAGGCACTGACAGGCGCTGGTAAGAATGTCAGATGCAGGCACTGGGCAAGACAGGACCGGCCTGTGTGCTTTTGACCTATTCTGCTGACTTCCTTGCTGGCTAGCCTTGGTCAGTGACACCTGGCCTCTTTGGTTCAGTGCATCTAGGTTATCTTTTCCCAAGGTCATCCCGGTTCCTAGTTAAAAAACTAATAATTCCCCTCATTAAGTAGAAGTAATTATCTCCTCCATGCATACCCAGACCCTGAGGAGCACTGAAGAAACTCTCCACGGGATATGTTTAATGCCAAAGCACTAGAGTCCCAGGCACTTGATTCACCCGATGAAACAGAAGGGAAGGACATACGAAGTGTGAGCTATCCCGTAAATGGGAAGCGTACAAACACAGTAGCCTGCTTCCAAGGAACTAGGACACTGGCGTTGGGCCAGCGAGGGGGGGATCTTGCTTGTGAGGCTGAGGCAGGAGGCTTCCCAGTTTGAGATGAGCTAAGGGACTGTCTGAGCAACATCAGTTTAGCATTGGGAGGATGGTCAGCCTGTATTTTCAAGATGACGTTTCAGGAATCTGGGGAGTATGGCCTGGTGGCCAAGCAGTAGTGAGGTTAAAGATACAAACCATGGTGCAAAAGGGCTAGGGATGTGTGAGGTGAGGACCATGTGACGCAGCTATGAATAATGAGAAAACTGTTGTAGGACTATGATGGCAGAGCTGTCATGTTATTTAGGGGACAGTGAGAAAAGGGACCCTATAGCACAAAGTGGTAGAAACCTGCAAAGGTAGGTCGTCCAAAATGATGGGATGTCTTAGCTGTCAGAGTCCAGTCTAGCAAGTGGAGGAGTGGTCTCATGTTCTGAGCCAGGGAAGAGCAAGCAGCTCAGATACCTTAGGAAAAGGACCAGGAAGGTCATTTGGGTGGAACTGGAAAAAAACCCACCACGATTATCTAGGTAAGAAGTCATCAGTCTTGGGACTAGGTCGGGGGGAAGCTAAAGGAGGGTCTCTGTGTTTTAGGGGCAGCCATGAGTAGCTTTCAGGGACAGAGGGGACCAAGGAGGGAGGTGACTTTAGAGGAGGCTCTAGACATCCACAGGGAAGTACGGAGCATGGAGAGGACCGAAGTACTGATGTGGAAATCACTAAAGAAAAATAAACAGCAAAAGGGACAGCTGCGGATAGAGAGTGGACATAAAAGGGAAGTGGGACTCCGGAGGGAACCGGCACAGAGGGCCCAGGCAGGGAGGCTGGTGTCTCTGGCAGGACACTGCTTCTGAAGGTGGCTTAGAACTCAGAAATGAAAAACAAACCCAGATTTTACACAAGCCAAGGTTCATTTAACAAACACGGGCTTGTTGCAGGCCAGACCCTGCGCTGGGCTCAGAGGTGTCCATTCAGTAGTCTGCCTAGCTTCCTGGAACCAGTCCTTCAGGCCCTGAGTGTAGACAAGCCAGCTCCGAAGCCTTTCTCCTGGGGAGCCAGTGTTTACAAGTCTCAGTCCACAAAGAGGAAGGAAGATAACCAGTGAAGAGGGAGGAGCAGGGAGTTGGAAAATAGTTCACACCAGACTCTCTCTCTCTCTCTCTCTCTCTCTCTCTCTCTCTCTCTCTCTCTC